CGCGTCATACACTTTGCCACACCATGTCAAAATAAAGAAGCAGCTCGATTTACTCTTCGTGTATCCGGTAGCCCTGATGCTGCTTCCCGGGGTCTTGCTGGCGTAGGCATAGCATTGAGTCGTAGGGCAGAACAATCTCTCCTTGACTGGATCCCAATAGATAGTCGATCGTGCGCTGTCCGACTAAACGGGACAGTAAGGACTCGAAAAGATAGGGACAATCGCCGTTGCCTCTTCATCGTATCCGCCTATGCCCCCACTGACTGCAGTGCAGACGAGGTTAAGGATGAGTTTTACAGAAAGCTTTCGGACCTCCTCCAAAATGCTAGGCGCTCTGATATAGTAATAATGGCTGGTGACTTCAATGCTCAAGTAGGTAGACTAAGTGAAAATGAAAGACACCTAGGTGGATGTTATGGTGTCCCGGCCCAGAGAACAGACAATGGTGACCGTCTGTTGCAAGCATGCTCAGACAACCGCCTATTCTTAGCAAACACTAACTTTAGGCATAAGGAAAAGCATCTGTTGACCTGGCGACCTCCGAAGCCGTCTCAACGTTGGACTCAACTAGATCACATCGCCATCAGCCACCGATGGAGGGGTTCGGTAGAGGACTGTCGCTCGTTCTGGGGCACATGTCTAGATTCAGATCATGCCCCACTGCGAGCGCGTATTTGTTTGAAGCTTACTGGGCGTAGGAAAGACACCGTAAGAAAGCCTCTTAGGGTTTTACTTAATGATAATAAGGCGAAGAATATATTTCAGGAACAACTAGAAAGACAGTTAGGCGACCATTTAAGCGATTCCCATCCAGAAGCAGGATGGAATGATATCAAAAAGGCTGTGGAAACAGCAGTGATATCTGCTAATAAGGTTGACCATAAGGCTAGAATGAAACCGTGGATCTCAGTAGCATCCACCGATCTGATGGATGCCCGAAAACGCATCCCACCTGGCTCTGAACATGATGAAGAACGAAGTCAACTTAGGCGCAGACTTATAAAAAGCCTACGTAACGATCACGAACAGTGGTGGGTGGCGAAAGCAAAAGCGATGGAAAAGGCAGCGGCGATCGGCAACAGTAGACAACTTTTCCGACTTATCAAGGAAACTGGTATTAGGAATCCTAGTGTAAGTGAGACTATCTCAGAAAATGACGGGACTATTATTTATTCTCAATCAAGGAGACTGGATCGATGGGCAGAACACTTTAGGGATCAGTTCAACTGGCCACGAGCCACTCTTCAGTTACCCACGATCTCCAGTCATCCTGAATGGCAAATCGACCTAAGTCCCCCGACTCTCTGTGAAGTTGAAAAAGAGTTAGGAAATCTGAAGCGAGGACGAGCTGCAGGTCCTGATAAACTGACCCCTGAGATATTTAAGGATGGCGGTCCAGTTTTAGCAGCTAGGTTGACTGAGATCTTAAGTAGAATCTGGGAACTGGACGCAATCCCATCCGACTGGTCTCAATCACTGATTGTCCCAATCTATAAGAAAGGACAGAAGTCTTCTTGTGACAATCACAGAGGAATCAGTCTGACTAATATAGTATCTAAAATATTGGCCTCAGTAATACTTCGACGCTTAACGAAAGCTCGTGAAGAGCAGACTCGAGAAAACCAGGCTGGTTTTCGACCTGGACGTGGCTGTATAGACCACATTTTCACACTACGACAGGTCCTGGAGCACAGACACACATTTAGACGTCCTACAATAGTTGTTTTCCTGGACCTTAAGGCGGCATTTGACTCTGTTGATCGTGAGGTTCTGTGGCAGTGTCTGTCATTGAAAGGTGTACCAAATAAGTACATTAACCTCATACAAGCTCTCTACTCAAACACCACTGGTCGAGTGAGAGCTTATGGCGAACTGTCAACGGAATTCTCTACTTCAAGTGGTGTCCGTCAGGGATGTCCACTTTCTCCATTCTGGAGTAGACCTTTTACCAGGTGGCTCGCTTATTGACTTAGAATATGCCGATGACATTGTCCTACTTGGTGAAGACGCTGACAAAATGCAGAGTCTTCTAACTACCCTAAGCAACAATGCCAGCATGTTCGGGATGCGGTTTTCCCCCTCAAAATGCAAAATGTTGCTTCAAGATTGGGTTGCCTCGGCACCTGAACTAGTGATAGGAAGTGAAGTAGTCGAACGTGTAGACCGCTTCACTTATATTGGGAGTCTCATCAGTGCTGATGGCCTGGTTTGTGACGAAATCTCAGCACGGATACAGAAGGCTCGATTGGCTTTTGCCAACCTGCGTCACTTATGGCGTAGGCGAGATATCCGTTTGCTGACTAAAGGACGAGTGTACTGCGCAGTGGTTCGCTCCGTCTTACTTTATGGCTGTGAAACATGGCCAGTGAGAGTAGAAGATATTCGTAGGTTATTGGTTTTCGATCATAGGTGTCTTCGAAGCATTGCTCGTATATCGTGGGACACCCAAGTGAGTAACGCTGTTATTAGGAAACGGGTGCTAGGTAAGAATGGCAGATCAATAGATGAAGTACTAAAACTTCATCAATTGAGGTGGTTGGGACATGTGCTGCGTATGCCTAACCAGCGACTGCCTCGTCGAGCTTTGTTTTGTAGTGTAGGAATAGGTTGGAAGAAAGCTAGGGGCGGCCAAACCAAAACATGGCAGAAATCCATGAAGTCATTGACGAGTGGACTTAGCCATGTCGGTAATTATTGACTACCTGGTTGGGGTCCGCGAGATGATAATAATCGATGGTTAGAGACCTTGAATGACATGGCTCAAAATCGTTCGCAGTGGCGCCAGTGCATTTATGCTTTGTGTTCTCTCAAATCCTAATCTTCTGGGTTCTTCAACACCTCTAGTTTTGACTTTCTAAACTTATCTCATTGAATCATACTTCGTGAATAATATCTTCTAATTCTAACCTCTCCGACTACTTCTAATACCTTTACTACCTCTCTACTATTGTATTTGAATTGACAATTATATCTCTGTGCTGATGTGGTATGGCGACATGAACTGATGTACTTACGTACGAAGTTCTACGTTGCAACTGACTGACTTACAAATCCTAACTAATACCTGTATAAAGTGAAATACTCAATTCGTCTAATATATGTGCACAAGGTAATGATAGGTAAGTAATGATCAATCATGAACATGTCAAACTACTGAGTTTAAATTTATTCAGTTTTCTGAATTCTTTTCCGATTATGATTGTATTCCATAAGTTAAAATTTACTTCACTGTAAAATTTTAGTTAAACCTAACTGTAACAACTACTCATAGAACATAACTCTAATCAATAATAACAATAGTACATATATTTATGGTTAATTCTAAATAGTTTACTGCTGCTCAATCAATGTTCACTGTGCAGTCCAAGTAGAGTGGCTGAAGGGCAGTTTAAATTTTTAAAAAAAAATTTGAATGTTACTTCACAAACGAAATGACAGAATTTAAAAAATCAATTATCATTTAGTTGATGCTTCCCTTTTTTTTCATTAAATATTGTGTGACAATTTTGTAATATTTCAATTATTTTTTATCATCAATAGTTTTATTAATTTGAAATTGTAAATAATTAAGAAAATCGATTTCTACAATTGGATTATTTGAAAAGAAAAAAAAACAGTAGTGAAAGTTTATTTAACACACACATAGATTTCGAGGCATGATAAAATAATCTCAAATTTCAAATTTGACTGTCATAAACACACAAAAAAAAATGCTGAAATGATTTCCATTTGGGAAATGTTCAATTCGACTTGAATTTTTGAAAGAAAAAAACAATACGCTATGAAAATGACCTTCACTAAAAATCGATTTTCAGCCAGTTCTCAGCCAAACAAAAATAGGAACTCAATGTAAATAAGTAGTTGATAGAAAAACGAAGTCAATATTAATACAAAAACTAAACAAGACTTCAACCTTAAATGAACTGATGCTCCGCCTACAGTTGGAATCTTCGTCAGTCAGTTTCACCGTTTGAGATATTGTTATTCAGTTATACAAGCAACAACTGATCGAAATGTTTATGACTGCTATCAAATCGCCTAAATCAATGACTAGTATAGACAGCCAATCAGAATTGTTCGAACAATGTCAACAATCATAAATGTTCTAGAGTACAAACACATATCCTTAGTCAATAAATGGATTCATTTTCGAAAGAAAAAGAATGTATTTATATAAATGAGTATTTATGTCTAAGATTCGAGTAGCCAAATAGATCTACTGTTCCTTTTTTTTCTTGCCTTGCCGACCAAGTAGTCAGTATTTTTTTGTGGGGAGGAGGTTAGCACGTATCACGATCACATGTCGGACACCGAACATTATTAGAGTGAGACCATTTTAGAGATTAACTGATAGAATTCGATTATCATCTGAAAGACTAGACTATCTTCTGACGAATTTACAGAGTGTTGGCCACACTGAAACATCCTGCATTAGGCTACCCAGTAGTTATATATGTTGATTAATTTGAAATTTGTAATCAGCAATAAAACTAATAAATTTACTTCAATGTTTTACTCGCACTTATACATCCAAACAAAACTCCAATTTAATGGAGAAAAAAGAAAACTTACTTTCTACAAAAAAGTTGTAGAATTAATGCGTTAAGCCTTCTGAGACAAATTGATTTAATTGTTGTTAATTTACTGTTTTGCCCAATCCATTCTGAGCAATAAATATCAGCATTAAGTTTTCCTGTGGGACTCACAGGATGGGCGATTTCATGAGATCGGTTATCGAGTAAAAACTGTCAAAAGAAGTATTAACACTTTGTTTTCATGTCTTGTAACAGAAATTCAATTCGATGCAAATTGATCAACACCAATTTTTAGCAAGTATTTAATATCACCATTATACAAACTGTACTCATTTTAGTTTAAACAAGAAAGTTCCAGTTTAGGATAAACATCCCTGTGAAGGTGATAGGTTAACGATAGTTTAGAATTTCAGTTAAAAGAACATGTAAAAACGTTGAATGTTTTTGTTATTGATTTGTTTTTAGCTACCTCAATGGAAACACAATTCAACACAAAGTATCCAAATTATTTGATCAATCAAACATCAATGGAGAATTTGACAAGTTTAAAAACTGTGAAATTTATGAATCACACTGATGAATTAAGTGAATTATTTATTGGCCCATTAAATATACACAAGTTGGTACAATCGAAAGACGGCGATGCATTGACTACATTAAGAAATAGTAGGATATCAAATAATCAATTACTTAGTCGATTAACAATACCATTAATTCTGTGTGGATCACTATTGAATTTCATGTTAACCAGTACAACACTACGTATATCATGTAGACAAATACCATGGACAATATTTTTATTCTATCTCATTATATTGGATCAATGCGATTTAATTATCAATGCAATTGATATTTTCATTGAATCATATCATGAAATACGTTTATTGATAGCATTACAATTTCTTGGACGTTTCTATTGTCAAATAATACCAATGTGTTATAATTTAACTAAACATATACATTCAATGTTATTTGTAGTTTTTACAATTGAAACATTGAAATCATGTTTATATCCATTGAGACAATTGAATGTATCATTGAAAAAATCCAAACAAATTGCACGGAATATATTGATTTTAATTTTTGTAATAACAATTACATTAAATTGTCAATTTATATGGACATTTGATTTATCACGGCTAGATACATTTGTTTTGCACGAACGTATTGTCAATAGTATTTACAAGTGTGATTTTGCTTCAACATGGATATTAAGTCCAATTTTTTTAAATTATATCTGGCCATTATTAGATCATTTAATTGGGGATTTATTTCCATGTATTATTTGTTTATCTAGTGGAATAATTGGTTATACATTGTATAGACTACAAATCATAAAATGTCAGAATGACATTAAACATATTTTAAATCATACTAATCGTCAAGAAACTGTCTTCTTCAATGATAATCACAATGAACAAAGATATAATAAAAATTATTGTTTTTCATATCATAAATGGATTATGAAAATTATTCGAGGATTTGTTTTATTTTGTTTAGTTCATGGATTATTTTTAATACCACGATGTTTATATTATTTGTTGAAATATTTCTTTTTCATAAGTAAGTCCCAGGATATTTTTGTGTAAAACTTCAGGTGTTACTGAAATTCATTCAAAGTAGTATCATATTTTACAGTGAATTTTTTGATGTTACATTGTGGATGACTAGTGCTTCAATGGGTTCCGATGAGTTGAATGCAATCGATAGTCAAAAATAAATTCGATCGAAAACCTGTGATTTGAAATTAAACAAAAACACCATAATATCTGCATGAATACAATTGGACAGCTAAAAGCAATAGAGATATGTGGAGACATACTATTTAAGAAGCCACAAAATATTCACCGTAAACGACTAGATGTATTAATTTACTACATACATATAAAAAACAAAAATAACACTAATTATAATGGGCTAAAAACTAAAATTGCTTAAAGAAGAACACAGCTTACTAGTGATACACAATCAAAGCGAAAATAATATTCATTGACTCAGCTACAGCTTAAATAGGATAAATCGATGCCTGTGAGCTTCTAAATCATCAACAAAGTTAAATAGTTGACAGAGAAGAACTAACAAGAAATAAATATACAGTGTTTTTAAATCCAGTAGTAGTGCACCTAAATGTATTTTCAGTTAAGAGACATGTTTGTGTTACACTGAAATATTCTATGGCTGTTGTTATGTGAGAAGATATTTCCAGTGAAGTGGTTAGTAAAAACTTGGCTATTTTTTTAGATTTCTTACTTCAAAAACTAACATCCGAAGAATGGATGAAAAGATATTGGATGATAATTGAATAATATCGTCAATCGATTGAAGTCGTAAGTACAAGTCATTGTGTGACGAACTAAAGGAAGTGAAAGTTAAGCTTGCAACGCGACACTCAAATGTGCTGGGTTTGGTCTCAGGCGGCAATATTGTGAATGTACTCTACTAAGGAACGGTATATTAAGATGAAACAGCTTCTCATTGTTTTCTTACTGATAACAATTAAATTAGGTTAGTTCGCGTGATTTAAACAATAACAAGCTGAAATATCTCGAAACACTTGGAAGAATTTAAAAACACTGTGAATGTCACTAAACAATAAGATTGTCAAGGCTTTCACAATTATTCAGCGATCACATGTTTCCCCATTACCAAAACGTAATACTGCTTAGATATAGAGATAATTGTGCTAGTCCTTTCTAATGATAATATGTAATACCTCATTTCTGCTTTACAAATAAAACTCTTCTTAAAGTTTTGTCATAAATTCATGTTATCTGTTAAATTTCATGTTCAAGGTTCATTATCTCTTTGACTAATTATTTATACTTTATATTAACTTGATTTTGTTTCAATTCAATATCATGTATTAAAAATAGTTTCGTTACACTTAAAATCTAATGCTAAAACCATTTATAATCAGGTGTTCATAATATTTTCCCTAATGCTTTTATAATTTATAAAGTGAATATTACTGACTATTATATCAGCCATGTATGGTTTTTCATGTCAACATATTCATTTTGATTATCAAGTATTTTAAATATATATACACAGACTTACAATTGTTTGTATGTATTGATTTTCAATGTGAATTTTAGGTAGACTCATAAATCGTAACAATGTACATAATCACGAAATGGATGACATTCATAGTCAAACAGATCAAAGTGTAGAGAATACTATCATTCATGTTATGGAATTATTGAGACCATATGAAATTTATTTGGAAAACTATGAATCGGTTTTACGTTGTACAAATTTTATTGAAATCAACATACGTGGTGTCATTCTATTATTCGGTGTAGAAGAATTCAAATCAAATCTTTACACTTATTTATCTACAATGAAGCATTATTATAAACGATTATCATTGTGCAGTTTACGTAATAGATTTTCCATGCAAAATACAAAATTTCCATATATAAGTTGGAGAAAAAATGTATATATTGCAAATTCTGATCAAAAACTTAAATCCATTTACAGAACTACTATTGATTTAGCGTTGAATCATAAAAAACTTAACGAGAATACAATTGAACTATCAGAATATTTGACTAAAATCAAACACAAATCTAATAATATCAGTAATAATAGCAATAAACAGAAAAATCAAACACATCATTTTATAGAAAGTACAACTGTAATGAATTCACAAACCTCTTTAATTACTGATACCCAATTTAATGACACTATTGACAAGCATAAAAATAATGAGCCAGATATGACAAAAGTTGAAATATGCACAACTAACGCAATTAATTCAAAATCGAATTTGTATAATTGTAAAAAGCACAAATCAAATTCGACAAATTATAACTTGAATGATTCTTCTAGTTCTGAAAAATTAATAGGAAAATATCATATTTTTTATTTGTGAACTTTAATGAAATATTATACAAAAGAAAAGTTATATCTATATTAGAGTCGTTAAAAAAAATAAACAATTTGTATTTTTAAAAAAATTATGTTGTTCTAGAAAATGTCTTTTCGAATTTAGTGGCTTGTAGAAATTTTGTTGAATTGAGTTTTTAGGTTACTTGTAAATAAGTATTTGTATTAATGTGTAAATGCATCAGACATAAAATAGTGACACAACGATGTTCCAGAGTGTAAATTCAAACAAAACAACGACGATTAAACTTACTGAACTGTTAGCGGGAGATAGATTGGATTAAAGCATGATGGCGTTGCTGCACGTTGATTGGATCCTTCTTATCCAATCAGCGCTAGTCCATACTGGGGCAATATTCTAGAATCCCTTCATGTAAAAACTATAAATATACTAACGTCTTTTCCTTTTGATCTTCTGACTTTCATTTAACCTTGTTATCGGACGGAATATAATCTCTTTCCCTGTTCAACCGTGTTCTGATTTGGGAGAATGTCTCGAGTGAATCGGTGTCCGAGAATACTGAGCATTAGGAATAGCTGGGTTGTAGTAGAGAATTGTAACATGAGCGTTACCAGTATGGATGAGTGGGTAAAAAGAAGCTTCAGCATTTCAGGAATAGGTGAAAAAACAATATTTAAACATCCGAATCATTTTCACTAATGTATTTATTAAATTCATACGCTCTGTTTAATTCATATGAATGTTTATAATTTCCTCAGCGTAAAAAGTAAATTCTTAAGGATTACATACAATGAGTTGCATTCTGCAATTAAATAACTGAGAACGATTCCATTCTTAAAGATAGACTTGTAATGACAGAATCATTACTGTTCTTTGTTCCACTATGAGGTTGTTCAGAAATGAAAAATTTATATTTGACTGATTATCCGTCGTTTGTAAGTAGTTCCACTTGTGCAATAAAACTGATAAATATATGGAGCCATAGAGAAAAGTGGAGGCTTATTTCTTTTCCTATTGATTTATATGTTAACGAGGTTGGGCATAAAAATTTGATGCGAAGGAATTCAACTATCCATCCAAAGGGATTTAAAGAAATGAAAATCACTTATATTTGCCACAAGTCCAAGTGATTTGCATGTGCGTAAATTAAGTTGAGATGTTAGTTGATCGAGGATTGTTGACAGAAAACCATGAACCTAAGTTTCGTACCAGTTGGGATTCGTCACAAAGGTTTGCTTGTAATATAATATTGAGGAAGTTAACGTCCACTAAAGAATTCGAAATCATTTGAGGAAACTAAACCAGCATTTATGGGCTAGACAAATATGAAACTATTCATTAAGCAGTTATCGATTAGCTGTATTAAATTTAATCGCACACGTCAGTCACAGACCAATTGCTCAATGATAATTCCTTTATTATGATACGGGGAAATATGATTCTTCTGTCTCTAACTACCTAACAAAGAGATTGATGAACAAACATTAGCAACTATGAAGCGAAAGCAATCATAAATGATGATGATCTTAGATTATTCCATTAGTGAAATTTTAATGCTTCAAATTAACTACTACAAACTTGTTGGCTAATCAGCGGAATCTATTTGATTTATCGACTATTTCATTGAAATTTGGTTGACTGATACGAAAGGGGAGCATAATACAACCACTCTTCGGGAACTAAATAGTGCATTTAGATCAGTTTAACACCTAAAGTGATCGATTACTGAGTGGCAGCGAATGTTATGGTTCAATTGTCTTTATTAACAATATAATTATATCAACTACATAGTAACATAGGTACTAATACAGGTAGCCGGATGATGGTAGCTTCTCTGACTGCGTAACTTGATAGCTTTAGTTCTAATCATACGAAGCAATGAGTTATTTCAAATATGCATGTCGACTGTCCACTAAACAGAAGCTGCCTCATAAATCTAGGAATAGACCTACTTTTATTGAGTTCAAGCATACATAATTAATCATCAAAAGAAAGCGATAAATAAATTACTAAGTGACTTCAGTTTTTTGTCACGTATTAATCAGATTTTTGTCTTCCTTGTCTCAAAACTTCAGTACTAAAACTATGCTACTTATATAAATATGTAGGATTAGTTCTTTGATTATTTCCTTGGCTAAGCTATTTTCTTAGTGCTTGATATGTGATTGTTGATGCGTCCTCATTGAATCGGTCATTTTTATGCCCATTTGCACTGAAATTTTTCGGTTGTTGCTGTTGAGTTGATTATCTTCAGTGTGAGTCTAACATAAACTAATTATTACTTGCAGTAAAACCGTCTATTGCTTTTGCTAACATTCTGAGAGTACCTTCGAGCTTTAGAAGATCTACAGTGCGTTATTCCAGCATAATATCCATATCTCTATTAAACAAACGACAATATATAAGTTTACAAACTTCTTCCTCACTCAGTACACAAACAATCATGAACAGTAAATAACAGTATTAAAACAACAGCACTTTATATGAATCAAGTGTTATATTTTCATTGTATACATGAACAGGCTTTGATTTTTATTCGAAGAAAGACATGAAGAAAGATAAGAAAGAAACTAATTAATTCACACATACGGGAGAGATGATTAATTTGATTAACATGTTTTTGAATTTAATGTAAATACACAATTGATTAAAGATTTCATCGATTCCGATTGATGTGTTCGCAGAAGTCGATCATTCAATTGGTCAATTTGTTCAGATGATAAAGAATGTTTCCAATTCAAAAGAAAACCAAGTGAATCAGATGATGGCAATTTGGAAGTTGTCAATAACATAGAAGAAGTTGACGGTTGTTTTAAATTATTGAATTGACAATGATTGGATGATTTCAATCTGTTAGTAATCAATGGATTGGTCGGACCTAATTGAAATATTCTCATATTGCAATATGCATCATCATCATTGTCATTTTCATCACTATCAATAGGAATAGTGTGTTCAATTGATTCAATTTCTTCTTTTCTATTCTCCTTATCATCAAATTCATGATCATTATCAGGAGAGGTTTTCACTGCAATTTGACCAATAGCAGTTGAGTTTTCATTGTCTGATAATGATGATGATGACGATGCTGATGATGAAATAGACGGACTTGGAGTGAAAGTTTTCTTTTTTTCAGATTGATGACAGTTACACTGAATCAGATCATGAGTCCATGAATTTGTTGATGTAGTAGGAAGTAAAAATAATTCCTAAACAAGAAGTTATATGACACGAGAAAATATTGCTTAATAATTTGTACTATATAGTCACAGTCACGGTAGAAACACAAACCTAATGATAAGAGAGTTGCATATCATCAACCATTGTTGAGAGAATAACAAAAATAAGAGGAAATAATCAATAAATAAGACTGGGATTTCAAGTATTATTGCACCTGAGAGGATAATTTCGAAAGTCTGATTTACAGAGAAAGGCTAAAGACAGCTTTAAATCAAAATTATTTTTATTGAAGTAGACCAAACAGTTGCAGAATGCATAATAACAATAAATTCATTGACAATTGATAGACACTAATGGCTCACAACTAACTGATCAGTCGGTTTTCGTCCGACTGCAAGGAATCTAAATGGTTTTTGAGCATGAATAAGCCTTCGATCACGTTAACTGATATGACTGAATGGATTGATACTATTATAAAAATAAACTTCACAGAAGAACATGAATTAACAACCAATACGAATGGTTCCTCCTACTATGACCATAGTACAATAAAAACGCACTGAACTAGTGAAAGATTGTGAAAAATGGTTGCCTAAAAAAAATAAGATTCTTCGTTTACATTTTTAAACATCTTAAAACTACCATAGAAAAATAGTTGAATGATTTACATTGATGAATCCAACGATAGCATTATGAACTCGTTGGTTAATTAGTTTGAAATTTTGTGGTCATGCGCAGAATGTTCCCAATAATTATGGAAACATAATTATAACATCAGAAATGCTAATTCAGACTAATTAAGTAACACTAAATGATTCCAGGTTTCTAACAGTGCGCTAACAATGATTAATTCATGAAACTCAACAATCTCTACATAATGAAAATTACAAGTAAATCAATATCTACAAACTTTCAATTCATCACGAGTAAGAATGCCAAGATTTTTATCAGGCTTCTTTTTCTGTTCCTCAATAAATTTCAACAGGTTCTCATTATACAATGAAGTATTGACTAATGTTTGACTAGTTAAAGCTAATTTAGCTGCTTGTCGTTGAAATATTCGTTCTTCCATACCGCCTGCTGTGACTAACCGGTATAAATTAACCGATCTACATTGTCCCGGACGCCAAATACGAGCCATAGCCTGAAATAAAAGAAATGCGTATCACATGTTTAACACATTTGAATCACTGAAGTTCAATGAAAGAAACATTGACATTTTGTGTTATCTCATTTGTTCACTTGAAATTTCTCAAGAAATTATTGTCAGTAAAATCAATGATTGAATCATAACAAACACATTTTGACTTATTCAGTGAATTTAGATAAACAAATGTAATTCAAAGAAGCTATGCTAATAAATAATCCGTGTGAATCACCATGAGCAATATGAGATGATTGATTTGATACTGAGTTATGGTTTAATCAAAGAAACTGCTGCACTAATTAGTGTAATGAATGAATTTTGTTGAATCTGTATAAAATGTTTAGGTTGAGTAAGCTAACTACTGATTGGAAATATGCATTAGATCAGAAATTATTAGTTAGATAATTAAGAAAATATTGATGCGCAAATGAACACAGATTACCGATCGGGTGACATGACATTACTGATATTAATGTGGGGCAGAAAATCATAAACATGGATTTAACTGGAAAAAACATCATAATTTTGGATTTTGAATACCATAGAATTTCTAAGAGCATGACAAAGAACAACAACATTATTGAGTAATAGGTACACAAATAATCAGTACTAATTGATGACTTAAAAAATTATAAAGAATTAAATTACAGTTCAAATAAAAGCTAAGAATTAGGGTAACCAGAAAATATACTCAATAAATATAAAAACCCATTAAATACAAATCAGACCATAGAAACGTAGCTTCCAAAGTTTGTTACCTCTTAGTTAAATCAACCCTCAGAACAACCTAGACCAACTGATTTATTGTTACATTCATCATGTTCTCCAATATACTAAGCAACTATAAAAAAATTTTATTTTATGTATAATCTGTTTACTTATTTGACTATTAAATGTTCTTTCAACTACTATCCATTTCGATTTGCAAGGTTTAAATCAGAGTGTACAGTCAGTCAGATGCAACGTAGAACTTTGTACATAAGTACATCAGTTCATGTTGCCATACCACATCAGCACAGAGATATAATTGTCAATTCAAATCCAATAGTAGAAGAGGTAGTAAGGGAATTAGAAGTAATCGGAGAGGTTAGGATTAGAAGATATTATTCAAGAAGTATGATTCAGTGAGAAAAGTTTAGAAAGTCAAAACTAGAGGTGTTGAAGAATCCAGAAGATTAGGATTTGAGAGAACACAAAGCATAAATGCACCGGCGCCATTGCGAACGATTTTGAGCCATGTCATTCAAGGTCTCTAACCATCGATTATTATCATCTCGCGGACCCCAACCAGGTAGTCGACAACTACCGATATGGCTAAGTCCACTCGTCAATGACTTCATGGATTTCTGCCATGTTTTGGTTTGGCCACCCCTAACTTTCTTCCAACCTATTCCTACACTACAAAACAAAGCTCGTCGAGGCAGTCGGTGGTTAAGCATACATAACACATGAACCAACCACCTCAACTGATGAAGTTTCATTACTTCATTTATTGACCTGCCATTCTTACCTAGTACTCGTTTTCTAACAACTGCATTGCTTACTCGGTCGTCCCAGGATACACGAACAATCCTTGGAAGACACCTATGATCGAAAGCCAGTAACCTACGAATATCTTCTACTCTTAGTGTGCATGTTTCGCAGCCATAAAGTAAGAAGGAGCGAACTACTGCATAGTACACTCATCCTTTAGTCAGCAAACGGTTATCTCGCCTACGTCATAAGTGATGCAAGTTAGAAAAAGCCATTCAAGCCTTCTGTATCCGTGCTGAGGTTTCGTCAGTCATCAGGCCATCACCACTGATGAGACTCCCAAGATAAGTGAAGCGGTCTACACTCTCAACTACTTCACTTGTCAGCGTCTTCACCAAGTAGGACTATATCTACAATACTAGTTGAACAAATGTTATTACAGTATCATACTTTCAACAGAAGAAGATCAATGCATGTAAACAGATAAAATAAACAAAGCATTACTTGAGCATCATTGGCTGGATTCCAATCCATATCGAATAAAATTAAATAATTGGCACCAATTAGATTTAAACCCACACCACCAGCACGTGAACTAAGCAATAATATACCTGAATAATTGACCGCATAAAAGAAACAGAAACAATGTCTTGTATCAATTAATTCACCAGACAGGTTGAGTCGTTTTGCATGCAAATATTGTGTTTGTGCTTTTTATTCTTATTATGTGTATAATACTATACTACTTACTAATAGTTAGTAGCTTGATCTGTGGTCAACTATTTTCGAACCTATAGCTTACAATGTCTGTTTGTAATTTGTGATCAAGTGTTGATATGAATTTATGACATTTAATCTATTTACTATTATCACGACATTCTCATAGTCTTGATTATGTGTAAACACTTCCGTATTTAGCGTTGTGTAGTTCATAATTCGATTTGTTCTGTCATTGTTGAGTTTGATACAATTATGTAAATTGCTGCTATATAACCATTCCGGGATGTAACTCTGCTTTGATTGTACTCTAAACACTTTATAAATCGTATGGTATTGATAATAATATGTTTTCAGCGTTAACAATATACTATCTATGGGCAATACTTTTATTTTCGACTTAAAGAATTGCACGCGTAATTATTCAATTGTTTACTCAAAGTTCTTGAGAGGAAGCGAGAGATTAAAATTCAACTATAGTATGCTTGATCAAATGATCTAGTTAACCTCATATACAAAAAAACAAACACACGTGCGACGAATTGATATAAATTAAGAATAAGACATCAATTCGACAAGTGTTCTTGATCAGCAAGAACAAATCTAGTTCATTAACAGGAAGCCTATGATTTTATATTACAGTGGTTCGATGATCCAACAACTGATGCACTACATTTTACAATATGACGACGAAAACCGAAGAATGCAATGATTTCAGTCAGAGCAATCATGTATCATTTGCATTCACCAAAAAATACGAGTACATCTAATCATCGAATAGCATAACTTTAATTATCTTTAATTATAACCATTCTCAAAGTGTTCGAAACAAGGTAGTAATATTAAAATGCTTTAGTTTACAAAAACAACTTACGATCATGAGATTTTGGATCATTGATCCTTTGGACAATTTCAGCACGTTGTTTATTTGTTGTCTGACCATCTAATCGAAGAGATGGTTGTCCAGTGACTAAATTACATAGATTTTCCAAAAGATTAAGTGTCTGGAGCATGAGAAACAGAAAAAATAACAGTACCGAAATCGGTAAAATGGAGCTAGATACTTAACTAAACTTCTTATAGCAGATACATGTGTCAATAACAAAGCTGCCAAAATTTAACACTGTTAATGCAACTTCAATTAACCAAACACCAGTATATGATCTAGGATGAATATGTAGCAGTTAGTAACATGAAACATGAAACCTGGTGTACGTACGCTCACTGGTTTAAATTACCGAACCATAACAACGCAGTAAGGTGGCTGTGTAGCAGATGTATCAAAGTGACAGTAGTATATTTTGTAACACTGAGTTGAAAGACAATTTAGAAGATGAAAATGAGAACAAAACAGAGAATAATACTGTTGATAGTATTCATTACAGAAAAATTTAAACTAATAAGAATGAAATGTTTATATCAGAAGCAAAATTGTATGAATCCAAACTGATGTTATTTGGAAAACCATTGAATATAAATAAATGAAGAATATATTATATCTCAAGCGATAATGTTCACGTTTTGAGTTCTACTGAAATAATAATAATAATAATAATAATAATAATAATAATAATAATAATAATAATAATAATAATAATGATAATAATAATAATAATAATGATAATAATAATAATAATAATAATAATAATGGCCTCTTAACTTACTTAATTGATAAAGAAAATTTCATCATGATGATATTAAACCAATAATCAAAACATACTACTTACTCACCTGAGTGAAATTAGAAACTAATATAAGACGATCGTTAATATGTAGATTATTTTTATTATTAATGCTACATAATCGAGGTCGTTTCTGAAAATTCACTGTATTATCATGTAATGTAGACGAAGACAATGTTTGTTTGTCAAATAGTCTTTGTAACATGATATAAAGAACATGAAATTTTCCAGATAATTGAATAAAATCTTGTGTAACTACTAGTGAATGTTCAGCGTTTAACAAATTCAATAAATCTGTAGTCAATTTTGTAGGTAGCTGTTTGTAAGAGAGAAAAAAATAATCGATCTGCTAGTAAAATCCAAAAACTTTTTTAACAACTTTAAGTATCAATTGACATTAACTATCTGATTGTAAAACACAGAGAATGATTTGCTATGTAATGATTTATAAGAGACTTGAAATATTTAATGTTAAGTTGTTTTAAAAAACAAACATTTTATTTCGCCCAAATAAGTAAGTAATACTGAGATCAGATGTAAACTATCACAGTGTGTTTAAGACATCTGATGTACGAATCTAGCAGACAGATAATGTGAATAATAATAATTCAAACTGTAATGCATGAAACTGGAATAGCAAATTAGCATGAGGCATTGCTACCTAAAAGTGTACATTATTAAAAGGGATGAACAATTTTAAGATGAATTCTCCGAAATAAAAGCGATCATTGTTATTGACAATGTTAGATAACACGGTGTAAAATGTATACTATTAGCACAAACTATATTTAAATCTTCACGTTGCTCATGTTAGTTTATTTATTTCCTCGGATTCGAGCTAAGGGAACTGATGTAGCGAAGTTCTAAGTTACATTGTTATTAATTTGGTAACCTCAATATGACTTTTTCTAGAAGTTGGAAAGTTGCAAGTGCCTTTACAGTGAAACAAATCGACTTTTCAAGTATGGCTACAAATATAAAATAAAACTCAATAGGATGTGTTATATTACTTAATATCATTTGATTTTATCTTGATGGTTTGTGGATTTTTTAAATTTAAAAATAGTTTTCGTTAAAAGCCGACATAAACTGATTGACAACTGTAAACCAGAATGCGAAGGACATTAATTTTTTCGCTTTGGTGACTCTGGAAGGCTTCACATAAGACAAAGTCCAGAACTTTCAAGTCTCTCGAGGAGCACAATGCTATGACGACCATGTAAGCAACAATGTGACAATGAACAAAATGGATTCAACGAAGTTCTAGGACAGCCTCCGAATGCCCTGGTACGGCCGAGACTGGGGAGAGTCTGCCCTCTCTCGAAATGCTGTAATATGGACATGCGTATATAGCTACTACTAAGGATGTCCAACTCACTGCCTTCTCGTGACAATGATGTCTACGAAATTGAAATGAAACGCGAGTGATATAACCGGATCGGTGAAGAGTGGGAAAACACTGATTCCAAACTAATGGTGCACATGGACTCCAGGATCCTGATGGAATGAATGGCGTATGAAGCTGTATTTGGTCACGGCCAGCATGCTACCGTGGAGCTTGATCTCCTGACGTTGCTCCACTGCCTTGCGGATTAGACTTTTGGGGCATAGGCTTCCGTTTGGCCACCCAGGAAGTATCCCACCCCACTTACGTATTCAGTAATGTGGCGCATTAACATTTAGGTACCCTCTTGCACCAATGTTTATGTGTTTAAATAATAAAAATAGGAAGAAACTATGATATATGGGTATGATAAAGTTATGGTAACGCTATCTGGTTTAACACTAGCGAGCACTAAAAAATACTGGATTAAGACATTTTTTCTAAGTAACGTTTTAAGGTAGAGTAAATGGGTATAATACTACTGAGCACACACATTTGTTGATCAGAAAAAAAAGCCACGTTCATCTAAAATTTACAAATATTACCTAGATAACCCAATACATTTGAAATCAAAATGTTTAAATTACTGAGTCATTATACATCTGAGAGGTGCTTTTCTTCAAAAAATGTAACGCTCAAGTAACTGCGGCTATCGTACATTTATAACGAAGATAATAATACCCAAAAAACTACTCTGTAAAATTTCAATGAGACTTGAAGTTTATTAATTTGAAGAAGTAACAACTCACACGATCAACTGATTGGTTATGTAAAGAATCCGACTGGATTAAATAATTTCTTAATAAATACGGATGATTATGAAGTTTTCGGAAAGCTGTAATAACTGACAAAATTGAACTATGGTGTTTTGATCGTAAAGGTGATGATACATTTTCCACAGATTCATCCAAATTTTCATCATAATCATCATCGTTTGAGAATAATTTAAGAGATTCACTTCGATTCAAATTAAATTCATTTTTCATCCATTGTGTAAGTATAGCCTCCAAACTAGTTTGCAGTTTACTTGGACGACAAAATACAATATGTTCAGCTGTATATATATGAATCAAAAGACGTTGAAAACAATCAAGTAACCGGTATATTTGTTAAAAATGTTCAGTCATGTTTGGTGGCTGGAAGTACTTAGGTGAAAACCATGCTTCACATAAGTTTCATACTAGTTAGTGCTCGTAAACAAGACAGCTGAACTTTCTAGGGTTTCCTATCGACTATCTTTATCACCTTATATGGATGATTATTTATGAAGTTCAAAAATGAAATAATTTTAAGAACACTGTGATAGGCTAAGAGAATACAGATATTTCACAAGCTTATATGTCATATGAAATTCAAAAAGTATGTAAAAAGTAACAGATGACAGACACTATTAGGAGAGATTACTTATGCACCTATAAAAGGTTTCAGTCTACATATTTATATCGGTGCCGGAAGGATAACTGAATGTATTCCTATGATTTGTTTAGATTATAAATTCATTTGACAATTACACCATTATAATTATTATAATCTTCTCATTTGCAAAATGGTTTGCGTATATATAAACTGCAAAAACTGAACACATGAACTAGATTGGACTGTATTGCACAATGATCGAATTGAAAGTTTTATATCTCTACTAAATTTTCATGTATAGAGTTATAAAATTAATTTATACAAAAAATATTTTTCTTTAAAATCAGAAGTACTTACTTTTATCAGTTAATTTTGGTGCAATGACATCACATGTACGTCTTAAAAAGAAACTGTTTAGTAGCCGTAGTAGTTTCGCTGATGGACTTTCTAAATCATCACTACTCTTTTCATAGTCTGTAAGATTCCACAAATCATAATCGTTATCGACATCAGTGTTTTTAACATTTTGTACTAATTTACGACTATTCAATAATGGAATAACAAATTGACGACGAAACTCTTCTAAACTTGAAGTTAAACGTCCCGGTACACAAAAATTAGCCAACGACCATAATTCATTTAGATGATTTTGTAATGGGGTTCCAGTTAATAGTAAACGTCGATTGGCACGTAATCGACAAAGTGCCTAAATTATCAAATAGATAAATGATTTTCTTGAAAATTAATTAAAGACTAGTAACGATGGAATAATGAAAAAAACAATTGATTATATGTTAATTCTTCATGTCTCTCTCTAACTTGTCTGATAAGGTACATCCCGGTTGACAAGTCCTAATTGTCAACGATGGCGAATTACACTATCATTACTAATTATAACAATAAAACAATATATATATATATATAATATCCCAATGAGTAGAAACTTTAAATGTTAACGTTACACGGCTTAGTATTAATTATCATTATGATAAACAATGCATCAAATACTCAATTTATTTGAAATTATCAAAAACCTGATTTTGTTAATGATGTACTTATATCATCAATTATTTTGTGAATTTAAGAAAATATGAAGCTTTCGTTTAGCATTTTAGAAATGAAGCTTTAACATAGTGTACTATGACTTAAACTTTGATTCACTGATACATTTTAAAGATGTCTAGTTAAATCTGTCTGTCTTAAAGAGATTCCATAGCAAACACTTGATAGAGAAGTTGAATTTGCGTAAGTATTGGTATATACCGGGGAAAAATATTATGCGTGCGGGAGTTCGAAAAAAGGGAAAACTAAAATACAAATACATGTCTTGTCGAAACGTAATACTGAATGTTGAAGAGTCCTACACAAAAGAAAGAATTATAGATCCATTGTCGACAGCGGTGATATTAAAAGTCAAATTGGGATTCAATTGAAAGTTTATTTTAGACTTCCATCTATACAGAGAGACTGTAAGAAGTACAAAATAGAAAGTGTTTTCAGATCGTTTAATTTAATTAAGACATGAATCGATATTTATAAGTATGAAAAATACATGTACAAAACCAAATACGCACGATTACATGCATATGGTCACAGTCACATATATGAATGACAGGATGACTAAGAGGATTAGAATAATCCATCTGTTGTTCACACTAGCAAGTATAAATCCAGTAGGTGTGTAACTATGCTAATTGTTACAAATTGCATTCTAAATTCAGCTGCACTATTTACTAATACAAAATAATAAGCTAGAAGAGATAAGCAGCATTGAAGAGCCGATATATCATCGGATACTGATTAAGTCTATCTGGATTATGAAAACAGGAAATAGAACGGCCGTAATTCAGAATGCTGTTGAATTTATTTTCTTATGAATGAATCATCTGAGGTTTTTCACTTTGTTCCCTTTAGAGTAATAACTGCCAATAGACTATTATGCAATCCCTATGATGTCAAATTTGTATGCTGTGTAATACAAAAACTTGGGTTCTAAAGACGAAATATGTAAACTAACCATGAATAAAATCATTATTAAATGTTAAAAACCTTTACACTAGTGTTAGTGCCCTAAACATTCTTCAAAAGGCAACAAAATTTTAAATATCATTCAGTTCTAACGATGTTAGGGTGCAGCAGTACTAATATACGTCTTCTATATACGAAAATAAATATTAAAAGAGAGTCGGTCAGCTGTAACGTAGAACTTCGTGAGTACGTACGTCAGTTCAAGTTGCCATACCACATTAGCACAGAGAGAAATATCGCGAAATAAGGTATTCTATGAAAAGATTTGTTAACTTTGAAAATAGTTTTTGTCACAAACTGAATGTCGGCTAAAGAAAACCATTGAGGATCAAAGAATACTGAACTAGTATGTTCTTAGCCTGAGGTATTCTAACAGCATACACCAACTACTTCACACTGGCTTGAAAGTAAGATTTTGAAGTTTGACGGTAAGTAAAACATAGTTAAGTCAGAATACAGCAGTTAATATTATTGAATTCTGTCAAGTTGTGACACAACAACTAAGTAAATAAAATGATCCGTGCTATTAAAAAGTCAATTAACTTCAGAATAGACACTGATCATTCGCTTACATAAAGTATAAAAATAATCAGCTTTAGAAATATATACACATTTTTTTAAAGTAAGAATAATAGTTAATCACTGTATAAGTATTTCAATATTCAAACAAATATGTACCAGTAACTTCAAATCATCCAATTAGTTAGCCAAAAATTAGTATCACTTATAAGTATTCATATGTTCAATTAGAGTGATCGTTGATTAGTTAATGATTTAAAAATTAGATATTTCGGTAAGATTAGCATAAAATAATCCTGTATTCCATAAATTTGACTCCTCTTACTTAGTGCGTTTTATTTGCACTAATTAACTCTGGTTTGACACTTGAACATGCTTAAATGATCTGTTTATGTATAGTAACTGTGAGGAGATCATGTATTCGCAAGTAACGTGATCTCTAATGTCTGAGATATCAGTAATTTGAAGAAATCAAATTATACGATAACAGGTTAGGAAATAATTTATCTGTTAAACATATGTATATGTGTGTAATTCATTGATTATTATATCACATATTCTATGTATCGATGAACAAGAAAATGCCAACAACCTACCATAGTTGTATTGATATTGGAATTTTTCAACCGATGCCCTTCATCACATACAACCATATCCAAATCAGAAATTGTATAAATTTCACTTGTATGTTGTAGAAACATTTCATAAGACATAAGAATCACCTGTGGCGAACTGCTGGACATAGTTAGATAGTTCTGAAGAAAAGAAAAAAGGTGATCACATTCAAAAAATACAAAAATAAAACAAATAAGAGGTGGGAAATTAAGAAGAAGAAAAAATTCAATAAAGATAATTGTTTAAATCATAATTAGTAAAAGTTTTAGTTATCTTGTGGTTGATATTCGGAAAAAAAGAATTTTGATCAAAATCCTTGCTAGCATATATGCACTCTGTACAAAATTGTCCAATGTAGTGATTTAGTCAAAAACTCATGCGTTTCATTGCATTCCAGACTTGTCAACTCAACAGATCTGCATATAAAGGTCAACAACATTCAAAATTGAACTGAGAATGAACATATGGTGAAAGAGAATGGATCCTGACTATAAATAGTAAGAAATTAAGATACCTCATTTCAAAAATGTTACTAGCCTTAGAATGCATTACAAACGAGATTCGGATACTATGTGTACAAAAACAAAACAGTTGTAGCAACATGAAATTTTAAGACAAAGTCAATGAAATTAAAAAACACAAATACAAACTGTTGATGTAATTTATTTACAGTTTGTATGCTCAACAGTTGAACCACTCTAAGCATGAGAGTATTCATTACACTATTCGGTTGACCAAATCTAAGTAGATAGAGCAAGAACCAAACTTAAAAAATAAGTGATTGAAAGTACAACAATTTAACTACTAATCAACTGGTTTTATATACACTATTAGTACGGTTTTCATTACTTGTGAAATTATTATGTAAATAATCAGAAAAAAAGAAAAAATATATGAACAATAAAGATATGATAAAACCAAAAACTTACTTTAACCGTATGATTTTGATCAACACAATACACAGGTAACTGTTCACGACCTAACCATTTGGAGAATTCATTTAGCCAATTCTATTATGACGTGAATATAAGAGGAAAAGCAGAATATATTATAAAAGTAAAAAACAATACAAAACAAAACACTTATTGATAAAATTACATTGTATTGTAAAAGATTCATCACTTACCTGAACTAGTGTACCTGGAGTTACAATAAGACAACGTCGAATAACTGGTCTACCTCCATACGGTCCTTGTTTAATTAATAACCAAATAATGGCAATAGCTTGTACAGTCTTACCAAGACCCATTTCATCCCTAATAAATTAGTAAAAACTTATTAGGTATGATGTTATTGCCTTATTTACATAATAAATGCATTAATTTAAGGATTAGTTTAATCAAAATACAATTGGGTTATAATAGGATTAATATAACAGAAAAAATAAAGACATATTAACGCAGTAAAGCAGTTGTCATTTGTAAACATGCTAATCAGCAATAATCACCCATGGGTTTATGTACAAGGCGACATAATTATACTTTCTACGTTGAAGCTAGTTATACAGATTGACTTATCATTACTACAGTAGAAATACTGAGTTCGTATTTATGATTTTAACAACTCCATTGTTATGTACATACCATATTCATAATAAATAACAGTAGTTACAAACGCAAAATACGCAGTTCCATGTTTGAAAACCAATTTCATGAACAACACAACTGATGTCGAAATTCTTGCAAAGAGTTGAGAACCACTATCGTCAATTCACGCAGTGTGACAGCATTTGTTAAAGTAGTGAGAAACAATAGATACAAATTTTGAAGCGGATATTGATCGTTTTAGTTTTCCTGCCTCCTGCTGTCTTCCAACCTACTCCTGCACCACAAAACATCGCTCGTCGAGGCAGTCGGTGTACGGGTATTCGTAATACATGTCCCGACCACCTCAAGTGGTGAAGTTTCAATACTTCAGCGACTGATCTGTTATCTTTACTTAGTACCCGTTTCATAACATCTGCATCGCTAACTCCATTGTCTCAGAGTACACGAGCAATTCCTAAGAGGCTCCGATGATCGAATACTAGTAACCTACGAATTGCCTCTACTCATATTGGTTATGTTTCACAGCCATAAAGTATGACGGAGTGAACTGCTGCATAGTTAACCCATCTTTTGGTTAGAAGACGGATATCTCGTCTACGTCATAAATGGCACAAGTTGGAAAAAGCCAATCGAGCAATCTACATCGGAGTTGAGATTTCGTCACAAACCAGGCCATCAGCACTAATAAGACTCCACAAATAAATGAGGCGGTCAACACGATCAACTACTTTATTCCCTATCACTGGTTCAGGTGCCTACGCAAGCTAATCCTGAAGCAACATTTCGCATATCGAGGAGTAGAATTGAATCGCCATTCAGGTTGACTAGAGATCGTGGGTAACGGAGGTGTGGCTGAAGGCCATTTGAATCGCTCTCTAAAATGTTCTGCTCATCGATCCAATCTTCTGGATTGAGAATGAATAAGAGCTCAACCTTTATTTGAGATAGTCTCACTAACAGTCGGATTTCTAATACCGGCTTTCTTGATAAGTCTGAACAGTTGTCTACTGTTACCTAACATCGCTGCTTGTTGCATCTCTTTTGCATTTGCTATCCATCACTGTTCGCGATAACTGTGTAGGCTTTTAATTAGCTTGTGCTCAAGCTGACTCAGCTTCTCATCATGTTCAGAGTGCCAGATGGGATTAGTTCCCGAGCATCTATCAGTTAGGTAAATGCTACTGAAATCCACTGCTTCTCCTCAATTTTTTGGTTTACCTTACTAGCAGATATCATTGCTGTTTCCACAGCTTTTTCGATATCATTCCAAGCCGCCTTGGGGTGAGCATCACTTACATAGCTGTTTATCTAGTTGCTCCTGGAATATACTCCAGGCTTATCGTTAAGTACAACTCTAAGAGGTCTCCTTGCTGTGTCGTTTTTACGTCCAGTAATACACAGACAAGTGCGCGCTCGCACTATAGTATGTGCTTCGGAACTAGTAACAGTTTTCTATCGAGCCTCTCCATCGCTGGATGATAGTGATGTGATCTAGTCTGGTCCGGCGTTGGGACGACTTTGGGGCCGCCGTGTCAAAAGATGTTTTTCCTTATGATTAATATTAGTGTTTGCTAGAAATAGGCGCTTATCTGAGCATAGTTGCAGTAGACGGCCTCCATTGTCTGTTCTTTGAGCCGCGACAGCATGAGGTCCACCCAGGTGTCTTTCCTTTTCACTTAGTCTACCTACTTGAGCATTAAAGTCACCAGCCACTATCACTGTATCAGAGTTGCTTCTTTATCTTGACATGGAAAGGTGAAGTGAATTACGCTATTCGGATCCTGTATGCGCGTTTCCGAGACGCAGAATACATTGATGGCGCGAGATTCTAAAGTACTAGCTAAGCAAGCCCGTTGCCCTATTTGACACAATGTCCGGACATTGAAAGCTCTAACATGTAGTTTAGAACGGGGTTTCAGGAGGCCAGGTATAATGTTTCGTGTACTCGAATCGTTTTTATCAGCGTCGCCAGGTGATAAGGAATGTGAGAAGGTTTGGTCATAGAGGTAAGAGGGTTATTAAGAGGTTTAGAAAAGAGTTGATTGTGACTAGCATGGTCTCGTGTGTTGTTGCGAGTATGAGGGTGGACGTCATCTCCCGGCTGCCCACACCGCGGAAGGGTTGTGTGAGGGCATATTTATCTGAATAAATTGCATTTAGACGAAATATTTATCAAGACTTATGATGGGTCTACATAGTAAGTCAATACTCTATTACAGTCTGATTTTTGTGACTTGATAGTACAAGGACAAAAATGATGTAAAAACCAGTACAAAAATATGGATGAAGCTTGTCTTTGCTGCACGATGTAAAATTTAAACGAAAAAAAAGGCACAACTCACGCTAAAATACATCCATATGTAGTTTGTGCATCAGATTCATTTAAAGCAACATATGGTTGAAATCCCATCAAACATTTATACAAAAAAATAACACCTTCACATTGATGGGGCTGTAGACGTGAAGCAAACTTTGACTCTAAGACTACATCCACAATAGGCAGGTTGTCAGGATTCTGAGACCACTAAAAATTTTTTAAACGGTGAATTAATACATGGAATCCATTGGAGTATTTAAAGCATTACGAGGAACAGCGAAAGAAAACATTTTGTCTAGCTATCGTCTTTAATGATGCTACTATTTCTACAACTATTGTATTTTCTGATTATTTGACACAGACATAATAGTAAGAAATCAAATCTCAATCTTTGCATAAGTAGTAACACATACAACATCGAGATAGTGTCCTAAAATCATTTTTGCAGATTTAGCGTCACATCTGTTCAGAGCTTTATCGGGTAATCAAAAACTCTGATAGTATGTTAACACCTTTGAATATCATTAATCTCATGTTACCTAATGCCAAATGCTTGGATTCCATCAGACTTCTTTTTTCATTTTCACCGTTTTAAAAGATTTGTGTGAGACGGACAATTGATGAATACATATGGAAAGGACCTAATAATCTTAATCTGCAGAAAGTAACAACTTCATTAAATAACTTAGGTCCTTATTTTCTATAACTGAACGGACTATATTTTGATTCTATTATACGGGTGTAGAACTACATATAATAACCGCTTTTTCATGATTAAACTTGAAACCCACAAGATTAAATATAATAAATTAATAAGCAGATACAATTAATGGCTTTATAATCAGTAGTAAAGCTGCAGAAACGTTAAATCCCAACATAAATAGCACAGTGAACTTGTGAATCTGAAAAACGTTAACAAAATCTATGTATTTTATAAGCATTCTGATGACTGTTTAAACAGCATCTATGTCAAACAATCTTTTTCATTTAAATTACGTAAACTAACTAAAGATAAACTTATGAAACGGTTATATAAAAAGTATGAGTTGGTTAACTGATATTTATACTTTTTTTATGTAAATACAGTAACATTATGTACATAAAAATGTACCATATTATTTCTCTGACATTTTGATTATGATATGGAATCGAATTAGCTACCTAATTTCTAGCAGTGCTGTGAAATAGTTTTTTTCTGAGTCACCGAATAATTTACAATGAAATCAAGTGATAGTTAATCATCAATTTTCATAATATTTTAGTAAATTTCATAGGCTAACTATTCATAATTTATAAAAAGGACTGATTTAATTAGTTAGACACAGCCATTGAAAACTTAGTATATGATATGTCGGGAAGAACACAAAACTGCATTGGGGATTGAACTGACGAGCTTTAGGTTTGGTACTAAATGTTAAACCTTTAGACCATTAAGCCGACCGCTGACCTAACTTTAGTCGGTTCGTAACTTGATAGGATCGATAAAATGAAAACACACTTGTTATTGGCTCATGACTTTGAAGAGTATTATCATTCTTCTAGCTTTAAATACGAAAAAAATACTTATTATCATTATGATTGTTCAAAAGAATGAAATTAATAGGCAGTAGTTTTGCTTAATAATTATAATATACTGGAAAATCAATAAACAACTAACGAATCAAATATATAAACTTTAATAGAATAAAACTGTATCAAGTTCCAGGCATTCGATAATGTTATAAAATTATGAAAACCTGCATTTAACTGGTCAAAAGTAGGAAATTGGATAGATAATGAGCTTTGAGACTAAGTTATTACTCTTACAATGCAGTTAGCAGGAGGCTTGGGCATAATTAGTTGATTTGAAGAATCACAGGACTCCTTGAAGTTTGATTTGAAATAAGGCTAAAAAAGCGAAAACAGAGATTGTATTGTACAGAAAGTGAGACACAAAGTCAAAGAGGGAATCGTACAATTTAATTCCTACACTAACCGAACAATAATATATCCATCTATTTCATAATTATTGTATTTGAAAACACTCATCATAATAACTAACTGCCTGCACCATTCAGTACTATATTGCCAGGTTTCGTTGTATACACACAAACGTCCACATATTTAGTATTTAGTAATCAGTTTGTAGATGTATGTATGTAACAATCATTAGGTTGGAAGTTATCAGTCGCGTCCAAAAAATTGGTTTTTATCATACTTTGCAAACAGGTCTTAGTTTTGGGTATGGAACAGTTAATCGAATACTTAACCTCCGTCAATTCTTTGAAAATTGTCACACTTATTCCACACTAAGGTTGTCTTAAGTTTGTTGAAAAGCACTGTTCCATCGGACTACTTATTGAAGAAGCATATGTGCGTAGTGAAATTTATCTTGGTTGCGTTAGTAGCCCATTAGTATTATCTAATGTTTAAGTTCCTGTGGGGCATTTCTTAGTCTTCCATCATACTAGGCTTGTTCCTATGATAATAATAATAATATGGTCATATCAATAATCATAAAGAATACACTTAGTCAGTTACAACGTAGAACTTCGTACGTAAGTACATCAGTTCATGTTGCCATACAAAGAATACACTAGTTTTCAGTAAGTATAAACTAAACTGTTGATAAGAAACGACCAACTTTCATAGCGATAATGAAAGTCAACTAGCCCCTAACACAAATAATTCTTAAATTTATTCGAGTCGGTTTTCTAACTCAATACTTCCTCAAACAAAATAGGTAAGTTTTCTGAAATTAAATAAAATGGAACGGCTTGAAAGAACTAATTTGAAGCAGCAAAAATAGGGAAAAAACTAAACCACTTTGAAATGTACTTTGTGATGAGAATTGGCATTTAACTCACTGATTCAAGAATTCCACTGCTTTTATCCTGCTTTATTTGAAAATCTTAAGTGAATTTCAACATTTAGTCCAAAAACGGATTTTCATACGATTTATCAACGACTAAAAGTAACTTTACGAAAAATCCAGCTTCTTTATATGAATAAAGAGATCTTTACGTATAGTATACGGCAACCTATCATAAAGACTTACAAACCACGATGACTGATGGGTAAAAAATACCCACATGCAATCCCAAATAATATAAACCAATTTAAACATACACCACTGTTTCTCTTTAGTTACATTTGTCAACTAGTCCTATTGTATTATTGTGAAGTCATTTTGTATTTCCAAGAGGTCTCAGAAACTTCAACCATCAAAATAACATTCTAAGACAAGAAAATCAAGCTTTACAAGTACAGGTGGACCTTTAACTTCAGTATTCCAGAATAGCACACTAAAACAAACAAATTGTCAGTGTAACTATTTACTAGTCTCTTATCTTAACACTATCAACTCCAAAAAACTATAATCGTTGAAAGATTTTAAAAGACTAGAGAATCGAAGTTAAAATGGTCTCCAAAGTAAAAATTATTTTGCAAATAAGTATCATTTAGAAGATACCTTGGGTGAAAAATTGGGTTTTGCACTTGATTTACTTGTCGAAATTTCTGCTGAAAATATGGACAAATTAAATACAAAATAATCGATTTATTTACCCGGTGTGTGTAACGCTTCAGTATTATTCTGTGATTTTGAGACAAATTTATCTACCAGTGGCTTCTCTATTAATGAAACAAGCTCTGCTTCATAAGGCCCAACATGAACAATGGAGCCAATATCGATTTCATTTAAAAATACTAATTTATGGCCGGAAGCAGATGCTATTCTACAGTTTGAAAATTATCAGTAAATTTATTTTCGTTTAAAAAAATGGAACCTACACTTTCAACTTGTCATTAATAAGTTTTACGACTCGACCGTCGACCTCTACAAAACCTAAAAAGCATGTACAGGTAAACAAGAACGATGATTACTTACCATCACCTTCCCATTTTTTATGCTAAAATACAAGTGAAACTGGTCAACACTACTCGTCTTACCTTTTTAGTCGACGCTTTAGCATAAACAGCCTCAAAAAACTTGAAGCATTTCGTAGTATGTGACAAATTGGAATTTGTAGGCGGATTATCTATCTTAGGATTTGAAGGACAATGTGAAAATGACTTGTAGTCGGCTGCTTTTATCGGGTTCCGATTAATTGACGACAAATTTTGAGATTCATTAAGACGACTTGGTGCTGCAGATCTCCTCATATTACTTACTGAAAAGAAACGCTACAATTATTAGTTTCAACGAAAAAGCATGATCAGTAAGCTACAAAAGTTTGCGTACGTTTGATGGTGACGGTTCAATTTAGATAGATGAGAAGTGAGGGGCATTATAAGAAACAACTTATTACCTTAGAGTAACTTGATGACATTATAACATTATAAGAATTACTATTTCCCTATCTTTCTGCTTGAAGGTAAAATGGAAACAGAGCTGTATATATTTTCGAGTACGTTTCTGTAAATATCCGTTCTTTTTGTAAAAAGTTCAATATATGTAATAAGCAACAATATGATTGATGAAAGGCATGGTTCAATGAGTAAGAATTCGCAAGAACTATCAAATAGTAGTGCTAAATTACATTTGAATGCAAATGGTTAAGTACCAAATGCGAGTTCCAGTATTAACTGCAATAATTTGTACGGGAAGTTTGTCTTTTAGCAGACAAACGCACGAAAAAAAAAAATTACTAAACGGTTAATAACTGGTTTAGTTGAGACAGCAATGGGATACAACAAGTATCACTGTTGAGTGAGGCTAAGATGGTCGGTATCCAGAAAATGACTCTTAAGTTAAATTAAGAGTAGATGACTTCCAATACATTACATAAAAAGCCCTGTAAGGAAAATTTCATGTTCCACTCAAGACGCACATAACTGGCAAGAAAATGAATTTTAATAGATAGAAAAATGGTGATCAATAGGAAAATTTCATAGAATGCATCATTTGGGGTTTATTTAAATGGTTTTTGTACAAATATAAATCGGAAAGCGAACAACAACATTGCTGATTCATTGAGTAATAGACGTACTTGTGATTAGAGTTCAAAAACATTGGTATTTTTGTACACATATTGTTGTTTCATAACTACTTTGTATACCCTCCGGAGACACAGCCATTGTCAGCCTTGTGAATATGATTAGAAGTAGAGTAGAAAGATAACTCCGCCTGTAGTCCCTTCGGGGCTACTGCCGGTCCCAAGCCCGGATAAAGGAGGAGGGGTTGGACATGGGGTTGGCGCCCCCATCCCAACTAAAAATAACCTGCCAACAAAACGCTAACCAGAACAAATAATTCAAACAATTTTCACTCTGCCCTGGGAGTTGGGAGAAGAATTATGACGTCGCGTGATGAAAGCCAAGTTCCCTCGGAAGTCACGAGGCTGATGCCCCTTCTGACAACCAGATCAACCATTCTTTTAGGTATATGGAACGTTCGTACATTGTGGGAGACTGAAAGACTATTTCAAGTTGCGGCAGAAATGAAAAGATACAATCTCGAGGTGCTCGGTATCAGTGAAACACACTGGACACAGATAGAACAACTGAGACTAGCTTCAGGGGAACTGCTGTTATACTCTGGTCATGAAGAGGAAAACGCTTCACATACACAAGGAGTTGCACTGATGCTGTCCAAACATGCACAAAAGGCGCTGATAGGATGGGAATCTCATGGACTCTGGATCATTAAAGCATCCTTCAAAACAAGGAAAGAGGAAATTACAATGAACGTCATCCAATGCTATACACCTACCAATGACTACAATGACGACGTTAAAGATCAATTCAACGAAAGGCTACAGTCAATCGTCGATAAATATTCACCAAGGAATTTGACGATTCTTATGGGAGACCTGAATTCCAAGGTTGGAATGGACAACATTGGATATGAAGACATCATGGGACGACATGGACTGGGAGAAAGGAACGAAAACGGTGAGAGATTTGCAAACCTATGTGCCTCCAACAAACTGGTCATCGGTGGCACCAAAACGCATACACAAAGCTACATGGATTTCACCGGATCACACTACTCATAACCAAATCGACCATATCTGTACCAATAAAAAGTTCAGAAAAACTATGGAGGATGTGAGAACCAAGAGAGGAGCTGACATAGCCTCAGATCACCACTTGCTGGTCGCTAAAATGAAACTGAAACTCAAGAAACACTAGACAACGAGGCAGACAACATCACAGAAGTTTAATACAACCTTTCTTCGGGATACCGTAAAACTCAACGAATTCAAGATAGCCCTCACCAATAGGTTCCAGGCCTTGCACGATATATTCAATGGAGAGGAAGCAACATGGGAGAACAATTGGAAAGGGATTAAGGACGCAATCACTTCAACATGTCACGAAGTTCTAAATCACAAGAATTACCATCACAAGGAATGGATCTCTGCTGATACTCTTGCAAAAATTGAAGAAAGGAGGAACAAGAGGCCTGCAGTCAGTGTCAGCCAAACAAGAGCAGAGAGAGTTAAGGCACAAGCTGCATACACAGAGGCAAACAGGGAAGTGAAGAAGAGTATCAGAGTTGACAAACGAAAATATGTGGAAGATCTAGCAATGACGGCGGAAAAGGCTGCAAGAGACGGAAACTTGAGACAATTGTACGAAACAACAAAGAAGCTGGCCGGAAACTATCGTAAACCAGAACGACCAGTGAAAAGCAAGGAGGGCAAAGTAATCAGCAACACTGAAGAACAGAGAAATTGGTGGGTAGAGCACTTTAACGAACTCTTGAATCGACCAGCTCCACTGAACCCACCCAACATCGAAGCAGCATCCACGGACCTCCCAATTAATATTGGCGCACCTACGATTGAGGAGATCAGTATGGCCATCAGACAAATCAAGAGCGGCAAAGCAGCAGGACCAGACAACATTCCAGCAGAGGCAATGAAAGCAGATGTGGAAGCAACTGCGAAAATATTTCACAACCTCTTCAAGAAGATTTGGGATAAGATACAAGTATCATCAGATTGGAAAGAAGGATACCTGATCAAAATACCAAAGAAAGGCGATCTCAGCAAGTGTGAGAACTACACAGGCATCACTCTTCTTTCAATACCAGGCAAAGTCTTCAACAGAGTATTGTTAAACAGAATGAAGGACTTCGTAAACGCCCAACTTCGAGATCAACAGGCCGGATTTCGTAAGGATCGATCGTGTACTGACCAAATCGCAACATTACGGACCATTGTGGAACAATCATTTGAATGGAAATCACCACCCTACATCAACTTCATCGACTACGAGAAAGCATTCGATAGCGTGGATAGGAAAACACTGTGGAGGCTTCTTCGACACTACGGTGTGCCTGAGAAAATAGTTAACATCATACGGAATTCTTATGATGGATTCAACTGCAAAATCGTGCACGGAGGTCAGCTGACAGACTCTTTTGAGGTGAAGACCGGTGTCAGGCAAGGTTGCTTACTCTCACCCTTTCTCTTTCTCCTGGTCATCGACTGGATTATGAAGACGTCAACATCTGGAGGGAAGCACGGTATCAACTGGACAGTTAGGACGCAGCTGGACGATCTGGACTTCGCAGATGACCTGGCTCTTCTATCGCACACGCAACAACAAATGTAAGAGGGTGGGCCCGATGCAGATGTGAGGGCGCGGATTAGCAAAGCAAGGGCTGCATTTCTACAGTTGAAAAATATCTGGAACTCCAAATAAATATCAACCAAAACCAAAATCAGGATTTTCAATACAAATTTCAAGACAGTTCTACTGTATGGAGCGGAAACATGGAGAACTACCAAAGCCATCATCCAGAAGATACAAGTGTTTATTAACAGTTGTCTACGCAAAATACTTCGTATTCGTTGGCCAGACACTATCAGCAACAACCTACTGTGGGAGAGAACAAACCAGATTCCAGTGGAGGAGGAAATCAGGAAGAAACGGTGGAAGTGGATAGGACACACTACGAAAAGCACCTAACTGCGTCACAAGACAAGCCCTCACTTGGAACCCTCAAAGCGAAAGGAAAAGAGGAAGGTCAAGGAACACATTACGCCGAGAAATAGAGAAAGAAATGAGAAGAATGAACAAAGATGGGACAGAATTGGAAAGGGAAGCCCAGGACAGAGTTGGTTGGAGAAAAATGGTCGGCGGCCTATGCTCCACTGGGGGTAACAAGAGAAAGTAAGTAAGAGTAGAAAGATAAATGTGAAGATATACTGGGAATCATGATCGAGAGGAAGATAAACAGTAAATGCATGTGCATCAATGTAACCGATTCTAAAGCATATCATTCAACATCTATAAACACTTATTTCGATTAACATGAGAACCAGAACCAGTCAGTTTGAGCCTACAAACATTGTTCAGACCAACGTCCAAAGATCTCATCAACCGATTTTAATTCATTGTTTAGTTGCTCCTAGCTTTCAACTTATGCCTGTATTCACTAAAATTGAATGACGAGGCCGGTGGTTAGACACACACAACACACGCCGGAAACATCTAAGCCGGTGAAAATAAACAGCCTTAACGACTGATTGACCATCTTACCCTAGAATCTCGTGTCTAAATGAAGCGTTGCCAACTTTGTTGTTCTGCGACACCTGAACAGCGCTTCCGAGATGCTCAAGAACAAAAACATTAACGCCATTTCGAGTTGCGCAGCAACACTTCCGCGTGGTGAACTTGTTGACATTCCACCAAACACCAACCTAGAGACTCACAAGAAAAGCAAAGTGTTTAACGCTACTTTACACTATGCTATCGATCTAAATGGTGATACAGGAGGGTTTTGAGACATTAAATGTGTTAAGAAAGATTTGTTAGGTAACGAATTTTCGGTAAGCTGTCCAAGCTTATGAGAGAAGTCAGCTTAGGTAAAAAACACAGTACCGTAAAATCCACAACACTAGGAATGAATAACAAATTACAAGTCATAGTTACGCTACTAGACTTCCATAAGACGAAATTAACTCAAGTTTTATTCTCGCTTTTGGAAACTATACTTGATTTTTTATTCAATAGTTGTCAAGCGACTATGTAGTGTTCACAGATTGCTTTTAATTTTATCAACCGGAGAAAAAAACCAGTTGATGATTTACACATGCACGAGAAAAGCTTGATGCTAATCAGAACTGGGAATGATATGTGCCGAATATCTCGTTTGGTATGACACGAGCTGGAGTTGTTTACTGAAACTTAAGCAGGGTCTTTAGTCCTTTAAAAACCAGAAACCAGATAGAAGTCCAAAATAAAGAAGAAAGAGAGGCAGACCAAGGGATTATATACAGAATTGGAACAAGTTAGGAGAGAAGGGTATTTACAAAGAAGTGTTTCGTAATTCCTGTTGACCGTACTATACAAAGTACCTGATCTTTTTTTTACAGCATATTCACCACTTACTTTCCTAGAGCAGCTGCAATGAAGAGAGCATATTCACCTAAGTAAAATTGTAAAAGTCAGTTTGAACGCCATTGAATCGTAGCGGTTTGCTTGATATGTTACTTAGTTTACTGGAAAGTCGAGTATATTTGGAGCAGTGATTACAGAAAAAAGAGGGATAGGCCGGGGATAATGGACCTACGTCCATTAAGGAAATCAATAGGCGGCACTCAGATTTAAAACAAAACTGATTAAGAAATTGTGAAAATCTTAACCACAAGCAAATGGCTTGAAATATCTGCATATAATATCCGATATTCTTTCACAAGCTAGTATAATGACCCGATTGATTTCTTTGCGCACGAATCTTGTTCTTTCGGTACTGTTCCGGGTGTTTGGTAGTGTCCAGTAGATGCGGATCTAGCCACTCAAATGCCATAATTGTAGTCGGTTGTTTTCGAGTTTGTATCTCCCGTGAATTAAGTTAGTAAGTTTGTTTAGGGACAGTTTGGTTACCGGATACCAGCCGCTATCGCGTTACCAGGCCAGAGATGAGTTACTCGGTATGTAACACGCGTTATTAGCGTTCCTTGAAGGGCTAAGTAAAATACAAACTACTGTCAGTGAATGAGCATGAAGGAAAAGCATAGAGTAGTAGTTAACATCATATAATTCTAAGAATTGAATTGCGCGGTCAAAGTACGAAACGAAAAGCTTGATTAGTTTAGTTCAGTCCAGGCAGATTCTTCTCTGAGGGAATTTACCTTTTGTTACCCTGCAACGAAAAAGAACAGACTTACGTTGACGACGTGATAAATATTTCTCCCATAACTTACAACGAAAGAAATCAGCCTGCGCGCTATTTATACTGCTTAGGCTATTTCGTGCCAGAGAGTTAGTGCAGCCAAACAACAATAATACAAACTAGTCTAAAACCCAAATGCTGACTGTCACTTCCCGTAGTTCCTTATACGACGAAACGAAATAGAGTTTCCGTTTCTCTCAGTTAACATGGAAAATGTCGTTTCATGGAATCATTCCCGAAGTAGATGATTAGCGGATTGGCTATGAACCTAGTATTCCAAATGGCATAAGTTAACAGTCACTTTAACGTTAAAACCTTCGTACCCTGGCCTCACAGTACCTTGTGTGCTACTGTTATATGAGGAACAGTTTGCTAGATAATCTTAAGGAGAAAAGAATTGGAGCAAAATGAGGTAAACACTTACAGTTAAACGAGAAAACAATCAACAACAAATTTAAATAACAAAAGCAAAAGATGAGGATAATCTTATAACTGAAAGTTTAATTTGATGACTTGAGATATCGTGTGCTTTTCATACTCCCGGGCTAAAATGATCTATCTTTAACTTACAAAACATTGAGTGACATTTCGTATTTTAGTTGCACGGAGTAAGACCTCACGCAGTAGGCTTCCTTAATTTTCCTGTGCATGTGCCTTTTGTCACGCTGGAAAACTTGCGAAACGTTCTAACTACACAATATCTATGATAATTGTTTCAGATTCCGTAGTTAGATAAAAAATATATGCTTTATTTTGGAACTTTTCACCTATGCCAAATTGTTGTTCGATTACTTCCACTAGATTGAACACGCATTCATTTAACTTGGTGACTGTTTTTCTAGGGTGATCGTTCAATCAAGAGTTGCTCAGTTGGGAAGAATTCAAATTTTGCTCACTAACTTTCAACGAGCGATTGCGGCAGGAAATATACAAATTATATTCACCGACATATTAGGGGAAGTAGAATGGTTGGAAGTATTTATAAGTTGCTTTCAAGGGCAGGGTCAGTGCTTAAGGATTTCTTTAAGGTTCTAGACTTATTATCAGTGCACAGCTACCCATGATCCATAAAGGTTGTCACATAAAATTCGTAGACGTTGTTTGATGTGATCAAATCTGCGAAGAAGTCACACTAATTAATTCAGCGTCAGTGACGTCTGTTGTAGGAATTTCAGAATCTTCAACAACAGGGGTACAATTACGTATACGTAAACTATCTGTTCTCAATGCGATTATTGCTTCAGAATGGATCAATAAGTGTACTTCTCATGGGGCTTGTTTTACCACGCATCGACAAATTGAATGATATGAAAAGAATCCTGAGTTTCCGTGAAACAGTCCTATATATTATAGAAATATGAAATTGGAGAAAGTCAGTTCAGAAACCTCCCATGCAGCAACCATTGTTTTGGACTTTGGTCAGACGAATGTAGCGACTGCTGATACGACATGTAGACATCATTGTATTATTATGTTCACTCTATGTATCCACTATGCCTGGCAGGTTAAATAACAATGAACGTCATAAACGACATCATTTTTTAAGTGAGTGTTTGTGAACATGAACCATTAACGGATGGGTAGAAACTGTGACTTCTCTACGTAATCCAACAGTTAACTTGAATATCACTATGGAATAATACATGAAGTTCTATTATCCTATATCACAGACACGAAATTTCAAGAACATCTTTGTACAGGTCACTCCTGATTGGTTATCCACATACAAAGATATTATTTCAGTTACAAGCGTTTAGGAAATCTTAAAGTTTTGATGCCCACATTCTATTTCTTTATGAATCAACGGTTGATTACAATGTACCTGATAAACCACTGCCTCTTTCTTCCACTTTTACAGCAGTAAGGGCAGATAAACCAAGCAAAAAGTACAGTTAAACAAACATTGGTAAAATTGGTTATAATAATGAATGATTCTATTAAACTAATTTCTTTCTCTTCATAAAATTATTCCACTACAATTTGGAGGCAGGTGTAGGGATAGACTCTTCGAATCTAGATGTTGTGGCCATTACTTGAATATGCTTCTTCTTATCTGTAGACAATGTAAATGCTGATTTAAGAAATGTTATTTTAGCTGAGCCGACAGAACGTAGTACAGTAAATCAATGAGATTAGCTCCATCAATCTGAAATACTTTACCTTTTACATAATCAGTAAAATATACTATCGAAATTGAATGTGCGAATCATTTGGTTGCCACTTATGTTTGTACATTGTCCAACAGATTTAGAGGACAGCAAGCGTCACAGCATTGCTGAACTCCGGTGATCAGAGACAACTATAAAAAACTCAGGTAATCTGGGTTTTTCTTTATTATGTGTAAATTCTTAGACATTCTATTCTTCTTGGTTCACACGAATCACCTTTTTATACTCTGGGCCCTCGGACCATTAGAGATCTCGGTGTCTTCGATCCGTCACGAATAGTGGTACTGTAGTGAATGAGAACACAGGTGGAGGCAACCGAATTGTATTTAACGAAAATTACAGAGTTACTCAGTAAAATCGGAAAACCATATCGTAAATCGTTCATTTGCGAAAGATCAGTTCATCCTATGGAACTGGACTGTTCCTGTTGCCAAACATCAATCCATTGTCACTACTATTCATGCATTTCATACAAATTCCATTGTTTTCTGACTCTTCCTTTCTTGATCTTCCCCCCATATTATGCTACCAGACTTTACGTTGACACTCACGCTATATACTACTTATAAGTAGTTCGCACCACAGCACCACACTCGTCCCCCCCTTTTAATAA